AGTGGTTAATCACGTGGAAATTTATAGCAGTCAAATACTCTAAACGCTTGTTTCTAAATGTGGAGGGAAAAACCGGAGGACCCGCAGAAAAATCCATGCAACCACGGGGAGAGAGACACGCAAACTCCAAATATACAGCAGCAGGCGTCAGGGTCGGGATCGAACCCACGACCTCCTGCACACCAGGCGAGGTAGTTAACATCTCCTAGCCACCGTGATGATGATGATGAGAGAAGGGGTGATATGGGAGGCTATATAGAGGACTAAGATAGACGGCCAGTAAGATTGGGAGAGTAGCGAGGAGTCGTGACTAGAGGCAGGAGACGACGGGGAAGGCAGAGAGTACACAGTGGACGATGTAAATTGTGATCCACTCGTGAAATGTCCCGTTTAGCCGAAGTCAGTGGCCTCTTTTCAGTCCAGACACTCCCCTTTATGTAAAGTATCAGAAACTATCTAAAGCGAACGAAAGCGTGTATTTGCAAAACAACAAAAAACTATTTTAAAGACATCTATACATCACACCATTATTCTGCACACCGAACAGCCGCTTGGGACGTTAATCTTGCAGCACTAAACAATTCAACGGATATCGTCTTCCTAAGTTTGACTCATTTAGAACATCTATGAAGAGAGCGAAATGTTTTAAATTGTGACTGACAGGCAAAGCTCTTACAACCGTGCTCATTTTAACAACCGTGACATTTACACATACAGTATATTGCAAGTTAGATCGTACCGTTTTGTTGCCAACTGCTTTGCATTGTGGACCCGCGTTCAGCGATTGTGAAGACAAGGCTTAAGAGGTTTTTTTGGGTTAGATCGCGTAAATATTAAACCCGCAACCACCCGACACAGCAAATTAGTAAGGGTTGCAACGTAAACAGAATGTGGCCAATTCGTTACTGGTACAGCACACCGGTGTGTTGGAGAGCAAATACAGAACATTTACAATCCGAGTACGACGTTTCGCCAGTCATTACAACTAGCTTCGTCAGGCGACAGCCAGATCTGTGGAGAAATTCTATTTTGTTCTTTAAATAGACGGATAGATGTGATGATATCTTGTGATGTGCAAAGGAGGGGGAGATGAAAACATGAATTATAATGGCTATCCGTTGCCGGTTGGGTTATTCATATGGTAATCAGCGTACATTATGCATGCACATAGTTGCGACTTTAACGCCACATTCATATTTACAAGGTCTAACCCAAAAAACCTATATTACAGATATTGGCCGCGAAAGCCTACGTGTTAAACCAAAGCTTAATGGAGCATATTCTTGGTTCTTTCGGTAAAGTCACGTAGACGGAAAACAATGAAATAATACAAATATATTTTTGTTTTATTGTGAAATAATAAAAATATTTTTTTTATTTTATTGTTTCCCTTCTACGTGACTTTACCGAAAGAACCAAGAATATTAATTCCTGCAGTCGCGAAAGCTTTAAATCAAAACTTAATAGAGCAGTGAGCGGGCAGGATGTAGGGGGCGGGGCCAGCGTGGAGTGGGCGTGGCCTGCGGATGTGAGACGTCATAAATTTAGCACCCGCCCCCCACACGTGATCAAGCTCAACGGTGACGGCAAGCAATCATCACGCGCGCGCTGCTCGTCCACGTTATTGCTGGTTGACAAAACGGAAGCCTGTTGCTTGTCGAGGGCGGATCAAGAGTTTTAAACATGAAGCAAGGATTAATAATGAGGCTTCTCCGGGCCTACCTAAGTACTCTCTAACTTTCTATCCTCATCTTCATGTGTTTCTCTAAGTACAGTACATGCATTTCGACGTCTGTGTCTCTCTATCTCAGTGTATTTGTGTGCATGTGTTTGTCTCTGAGTGTCTCCATGTCTGTATTTATCTGTGTATCCGTGTCTTTGTGTGTGTATGCATGTCTCTGGGTGTGTTATGCTTATTTTTGTGTCTTTATGTATGTGGATGATTTGTGTCTCCATGTTTGTGTGTCGATGTTTATTCGCGGATAATGTTTTTTTTTCACATGACTCCTCTTTTCCTCAAAATTCACGGATAATAAGGTTCCATTCCACAAAAATGTATAGAATAATCCGCAGATAATCCTAGATAATGGGCGTGGCCTGCGGGTATGTGACGTCACATAATTAAGCCCCGCCCCTCACACGTGATCTCACTTCACGGTGACGACACGCAATATCGTAATCACGCACGCTGCTAGTCCACGTTATTCCTGGTTGACAAAACGGGAGCCTGTTGCGTGTCGAGGGGTTTATTAAGGGGTTTCTCAGGGCCTACACACATACCGGCGCGCGTGTGTTTGTGTGTGCACAAGTGTCTGGCCATGAAAACCACTGATAATGTTGCGTTACCTACAACATAACAGAGTGTCTGCACACACTCAATGTTGCTCAACCATATATCTCTCGTGTGTCTCAGTGCTTCCGTCTATATGTGTCTCTCTACATCTCTGTCTTTGTACTTTACCTTCCTCTCCTTATTTCTACGTGTGTTTCTAAGTCTAGTACCTGCATGTTGCTCAACCATATATCTCTTAGGTGTCTCAGTGCTTCTGTCTATATGTCTCTCGCCATCTCTGTCTTTGTACTTTACCTTTCTCTACTTATCTCTATGTGTGTCTCTAAGTCCAGTACCTGCATCTCGGTGTCTGTTTGTGTCTCTCGATCTCTGTATTGGTGTGCTTGTGTGTGTCTCTGAATGTCTCCATGTTTCTGTGTGTCTCTATATTTCTCCGTGTATCCATGTCGTTGTGTGTTTATTATGCATGTTTCAGTGGGTATGTTCTGTCTGTTTTTGTGTCTTTACGTATTTTCGCGTGTGTCCATGTTTGTGTATCTGGATAATATGATGTATGTTTCACGTGACTCTTATCCGCAAAATTTACGGATAATAGGGTTACATAATACGATGTACTCTTGGATTCCTTCCATTCCTTGGCTGCTACACCACTAATATTTTCGACCTTCCGTAATTTCTTATGGTGACAGGTCCTGCCAAAGCCCACCAAATTGTTGTAATTAGTTGCATATGGGTGCCCGACCCTATGCATATCAGTAATCACATTCTGGAAAATACCAATTAATTTCAATTACCCATGAACCTGACGTTTTTAGACTATGAAAAGGCATTCTACTCAGAAATATCAATATGCATATTCGGAGGGAAATCAGACAAGCTGACACTTTTCCCAGAATTATTCACAGTGAAATTAGGAAAATATAATTTAATTGGAGAAACATACACATACAGTAGAACCCCACTTAACGACCACCCCGGTTGACAACTAACGACGGACCTCCATAGAGCCCATTGTGTATTGTATAGTGTAGTGTATAGTAGCGGAGTGTATAGTAGTGTAGGGCCTCCATAGAGCCCAATGTGTTCGCTTACCGACCATTCCTATGTCAACGATGGGCGTACGACGAGCACGCGACTGCTCATTTCGGCCAATCGGCAAGCTTCAAAGTGATCTGACCAGGCCTCGGCCAATCAGTGATGTCTATTCATGAGCATTGGGAATTGTTTACATTTGGTGTTGGCTGCCTTTGAAGTGGAAACATATCTTTTGAATTCTTGGTGTACTTTATTTCCTATACTCGCTTCACGACCAAATCACTTAACAACCGGTTTCATAGAACCAATTACCGTCGTTAAGAGGGCTTCTATTGTTTTTATTAATGGAGAAAATATAAACCATCTCGTCATAAGAATGTGTAATAGCCTCCTTTGGCTCAGGGCTGTAAACGGGAGATGATCACTGCCCCAATTCTCATTTTAGCAGGAACTCAGTTTGGCCCAACATTTCTCATTCTCAGAGATGTTATTTTGAAAAATAACCACCTAAAAACTATGTCGCAAAAAAAACTGCTGTATTTATGCTACTCACCACTTTTTTATAACTAACCCTATCCTTCCCTTCTCTATGGCTGCAGGATTCCCGCTTAGCACGGAACTGGAACCAAAGAATGTGCACATTGTTAAGACATATGTAATTATGGAGCAATATATCGGCTGGGGGCTGCATTTCGTACAGCGCGGAGAATATATACAACTGGTTTCACTTACTCCTGGAAGTTATGCTCAACGAAACGGAATACTGCAGCCAGGTAAGACACTGCACACATGCACGGGCCAAGCAAGTACTGCGATATGAGGTGTAGGGATGCCCATTATGTTTTTGATGTTTTTTTAAAACAACAGTACATCAGACGTGGCCAAGTGGTTCAGAGGTCAGAACACTGAACTGAGAGCCTTTGAGATCCTGAATTCAGATCTGGGTTTCAGCTGCCTGTGACTAAAACAGGTTTGGTCTCAGCTCGGTCAACAATGATGACATGTTTGGTAACATCACGTGAAATTTGGTGTTAAAATTATTCTGATGAAATTCGAGCACAGAGACTGATGGGGCAAGTTCTAATAGTGGGCACCTATGAAGAGTTGTACATTGGCGTGGTGAGCACCTCACCCAGCCACATTTGTATTCCCAATGCTGATGTTTACACAATGCACCAGGTGCTCATTTAAGATGGAATTGATCTCGGAAAGGCCCAGGACACCATTTAGATATCATTCATTACAGTTGATGTCACTGGATTTATGGTGCAGTGCGTAAATCCCTGCACCACTGCTCCAAACACGTGGCAATTTCCATTCACCACGACACTTGTGTGAGGCTATATATATTTCAAGGTCGTTGTTGTGTCCACACAACATCACCCGGTATTCACCACTAAGTGGCAGTGACATCACCACGGCGCCTGTGCCAGGCCAGATGCACTTTGAGGCCATGTAAAGTGTCGAAGGTTCGCTGACTGGAGGTCACCTGACACAACCAGGTGCCATGGTTTGACTGAGATACCTGGCAGATGCACCAGCTGACCTCCCTCCTGTGCCAACTTACCGCATTTTAGCTGCCTGGCACTCCGCTAGTCATTGTGAGCGTCGCTCCTCTGCCCTCCGTTGTTGTTGGAGGGCGACTGCCTCCAACTGCCTGGGTAGCGTCCTTCATGAGCTTCCTCCAAAGAGGACGATCTTGACACCGCTGGTACCAGTCTTTGGCGAATCCACTCAGCTCCACATCAGCCCATCTATTTTCCAGCCCGTGTTGTGCCCGTTTAGCCCCCTCTATCTGGCCAAACAGAAGATGCTTAGGCATACAGTGGCTGGACATGTCAGCTACATGACCCAGCTAACGCAGCCTTACCTTCCAGAGGAGCTCACTGATAGAATTTGTAAGCTCCTCACGCAATACAGCTTGGTTAAACGCAGGATGGATCATAGGCAGGCCAGCCTGAATTTTCTACCTGGCATAGATGTTCCATTAGAGGGATCCACGTTTCACAAGCATAGATAAGGGAGGGCATGACTAGCCGTCAAGCTTTGTGTAGAGCGATAGACCAGGACACTTCCACACAACAGTATGCAGGCAATGAAAAGATAATGCCGCCTAACTGATTCGGAGTGAGACCTCACCTGTCAAACCAGAGCTAGTCATAAGCATACTTCCCAGGTATGGAAAACTCTCCACTCTCTCCACAACTACTCCATCACCAGTGGGGAGTTGATGGGGTGAATTGTTTGATGGCACAAAATACCCAGGCAGATGCTTAGTTTCGGTGAGGCTGATGGTAAGACGTCACCTCTTAGTGGCACACTCCAGGTATAGCAGCAGTGCCTCCAACTCCTCTGAGTGAACAGCAATTACCCACGACAGCCTGGAACTTAAGAGCTTCCCATACCTCACCGCCACACTCCCCCACCGCCTTCATTATTTTGTTCAAAGAAAGTGCCACTCCTTGTGGTTTGGCAGTTTACTGCCCCGAGTGGAAAACAGTTCACTCATGATAACTGGAGCCAGAACCGATATACTGGACCTCGTGTATTCCACAGAGGTCCAGGTGGTACCCGTCCATATCCTGCCAAAGGAGTTGCAGCCTCACCTCTGCAATGATAATTTGAACATTCCACGTGGCCAATCGCAGCAATAACCTGTTCCTGGAGGAACCCCAAGATGGGGGGGGGGGGGGGGGTGGGGTTAATTCCATCTCTGCCAAATGGAGTTTGGCCAGTAGGCGTCATAAACACTTGTCCTCTGGGGCCTCCAGCATGAGCTTATTTCAGTGTTTCCACCGTGGTGCTTGGTAGAACAAGTGCAGCCCCTCGCACACACATGTCCATACAAAGACGTACATACAAGCACATGCACAAACATGAGCTAATTAGCAGATGAACGTTGTGTCTGTTTCACTCCACAGGAGATGTGCTGTTCAAGGTGGGGAAGGCAAAATTGCTTGGCTTCAGACTCTTACACATCTCATCCATGGTGAACGCGATAAAGACTGGTACTGCTATACGCGTCACTGTGTACAGGAACTTCATCCCACTGCTGGGGCAATGGTACGTACGATGCATGCCAACAGACAGGACCCTGTGTCCGTTATATTTGTATTTTCTTGAAATAACAAGGACACATATACCAAGAAAAAGGAAACCCACTCCCAAATTTTAACAAATGAGCATTGCGGGAAAACTTACTCACCTGTTAACTGTGTCACCACGCTGTGCAGACATGTTATGCACCAAGCAGCCTCAGTATTGAATTGCACATTAACTGCAGTAGCATTGGATTTCACCATCCACAATTGGCTTGTGATTTCAGATGATGTCAGTGGTGTTTTCGCCTTACCCTTAGAATGTGTTTTTTTTCTTTTTGCATATAATCACTAACTTATGCATTTCATTCCCATGCTCACCTGTTTAGTATATTTGAATTTGAAATTATCGTAGCACTAGCGGAGGTTTTTAAATATTTTTTGGCATAGATATAAAATCCTTTTCTGTTGATTGTTCACGCAAGATAATCCTCCCTTGCACCATGAGCACCAAAACTGAAAGGTGGGCATTTCCTGAAAAGCGGGCATAGCCAAGTGCCAAATGTGTGGTTTGGATTAAAGGTAGGGTATTGGGAGGTCTCATACCTCCTGTCGATTTAGGAAATTGGTTAGGTTCATTGGGTAGACAAGTCCTCGTGGCTGCTTGGCTAGTTGATTGTGACTAGCTACTTGCCCGTTTTCTCCATTCTATTGCAAAGTTCAGCCTTTTGACATTCTTGCCACTTTTTTTTGTCGTGTGTTCACAGCACCACCAATACCACTGCTGCTGTTGCTGCTCCGGATGCTGGCCATGCGACCAGGGCAACAACGTGCTCGCGGTGCAGGGCGTCCCACTACCCGCTGGGGAAGGGTAAGTAGCAGACAGCATTGCCCACTCGGGGGAAGAGGGGGTAGCCAAAATGTATTCATTAAACGTTGGAAACAATTTAATATATTTCTTATTATTATTTATTATCTTACCTCACTTAAACACAATATCAAAATATAGTCAATCATAGTGCGGAAAGAAGGAGGAAGATACATAGTTTGTCTTGTAATATGATGAGTGTGGATGGTAGAGCTCAGGTAACGGTCAACCTTGTGAATTGAGTCCTTGATATGAGCACAAGTATCAAGATGTGAAATTTATGAGAACTATGGCCGTGGTAGTACCTATACATTAATAATGAGGAAACGAATGAATGACAGAGGATTGCTGGCATGAATAAATGAGCGCCGCAACATCAATCAATCAAAGTGCTTCGTGGTGGATCCATTGAGCAGGGTTGGGGGCAGGAATTAGGTGACCTTCCCAAAGAAAATTCCAACTTTTACCAAAAGGTATTTTGAACATCGATGCAATCATTGCTCTGTGCTTGTGTTTCCAATACTGACCACTGTCCGTTTAATATCTCTCCACTCTTTCCCCCACAGTGTCCCCACGGAAACTGTCCATGCAGACCACTGGACCGTCTGCTCACAGCAAAGTGGTACTTCACGGGAACACCTGTGCAGACCATAATAAAAAGGAACAGTTTAAAAAAGACTTACAGGAGGAGCAGCAGCCACATCAGCAAAAGCAGAAAAAGTGAGTAAAAGCAAGCACAGTAAACAGTCTGCAGATGCGTTGCCACTGCAGCTGCACAAACGCACAATCAGCAGACACACGGCTAGCGGAGAGGGATTCTAGCACGGCACAATCAAGGGGCAGGTCGACGCCGCTGTCCAAACGGACGAGCTGGCCGTTGATCCACTGTGGGATGCCGTGAGCTGGGACAACTCGGACAGCCGTTCCAGCAGACACAGAGGAAAATTCGAGACGTCATGCCGGAATCAGACCAACCCTCCCATTGAGTTTTCATCCCTAGCCCATCTAGCGAGCGATAATGGTTGGTTTTCTCAGAGGAGAGAGAAATTGGTGAAGATCTGACATGATGGGCACAATAACACCTTAAACCCTTGATCAAAAGGGGGTGGTTGGTGAGCCATGACATTGCCAGAAACCCTGGAGAGTCAGGCCGCATTGTAGGTGAAGTAACGAGTGATGAACACAACGTAGGGATAAAAAATCGTCAAAGGGCTGCTACAAAGTGTTTTGAGGAATAGGTTAGCTTGCATAGTGATTATAACTTGGGAAAACCTCCAGCTCCATATGAATAGCAGTTGTGTACGGTTGTGTCATGGTTGTTGTGGATAGTGTAGGTTATTGAGTGGTTGTGGCTAGCTATGGTTCTTTACTGTAAGAATTGCGATAGCCTTTCTCACATAGTAAACGTAATTTATAGTGAACATAATTTATTACACTCTATTCAACTATGATAAACTGATAGTTGATTACAACTAGCTACTTTGCCCTTATTCTGTATTCTATTGTGGAGTTCAGCCTTTTGACATTCTTGCCGCTTATTGTTTCTTGTGTTCACAGCAAGGAACATGCTACCATGACAGCCGTGAGCACCACCACCAATGTCACTGCTGCTGCTCCGGATAATGGCCTCACCACCAGAGCAAGCACATCCCCACAGGCCAGGGAGTCCCATAACTCGCTGATGAAGAGTAAGTAGCAAACGGCATTGCCAACTCGGGGAAGGATGGGGCAGCCAGAATTAATTGATTAAACGTTTGAAACAATGATTTGACTGAAACAGTTTCAAAGTTGTTTCTGGCTGCACTGCGAATTATGAGCTGCGGCTAACATGAGTGGTGAGTTATATTTAGAACAGATTCCAGGTTGTATTTTGCACCCACCTGCAGTGACGAGCACAGTGACGAATGGTAAAATACTTCCGATGACTTTCGTGGCATGGGGGAGGTGTTGGTAATGGATTGACAAAGGGCTATATATTTCTTATTATTTATGATCTTACAACAGACTTAAACACAAGATCATAAGATAGTCAAACAGAGTGTGGAAAGAAGGAGGAAGATAGTTTGTCCTCTAATATAATGTGTGTGCATGGTAGAGCTCAGGAAACGGTCAACCTAGTAAATTGAGTCCTTGACATTAGCAGATGGATCAAGATATTAAATTTATGATAACTATGGCCGTGGTAATAACTATCCATTATTGTGAGGAAGCCAATGAACGACAGGATTGCTGGCATAAATCAATGAGCGCCGCAACATCAATCAATCAAAGTGCTTCGTCGTGGATCTATTGAGCAGGGTTGGGGGCAGGAATTAGGTGACCTTACCAAAGAAAATTTCAACGTTTGCCAAAAGGTATTTTGAACATCGATGCAATCATCGCTCTGTGCTTGTTTCCAATACTGACCACTGTCCGTTTAATCTCTCTCTGCTCTGTCTCCCACAGTGTCCCCTGGGAAAGACTTGCAGGAGCAGCAGCAGCCGCATCAGCTACAGCAGAAAAAAACAATTCAGCTTGAATTCATGCGCGTTGGTTACGAGCGGACTGTAGAAATTGTCATACCAGAGTCCAGGGTGGGGTCGACTCAGGGCACCTGCAAGGGACAGGAGGTGAAAAAGAAGGAAGTCCTCTCAGAGTGAGTAAAAGCAAGCACAGTGAACAATCTGCAGATGCTTTGCCACTGCAGCTGCACAAACGCACAATCAGCAGATACACGGCTAGCGGAGCGGGATGCTAGCACGGCACAATCAAGGGGCAGTTCGACGCCGCTGTCCAAACGGACGAGCTGGCCGGTGATCCACCGTGGGATGCCGTGAGCTGGGACAACTCAAACAGCCGTTCCAGCAGCAGTGACAGGGACATGAATGGTGCTGAGAGTGAGCTGGGATTGACGTATCGGGATGCTAGCACGGCACAATCAAGGGGCAGTTCGACGCCGCTGTCCAAACGGACGAGCTGGCCGGTGATCCACCGTGGGATGCCGTGAGCTGGGACAACTCAGACAGCCGTTCCAGCAGCAGTGACAGGGACATGAATGGTGCTGAGAGTGAGCTGGGATTGACGTATCTCTTTTGAAAGCTAGGCTGTGCTCACCTCAGCAGACACAGAGGCGAATTCGAGATGTCGTCCCGGAATCAGACCAACCCTCTCATTGAGTTTTCATCCCTAGCCTGTCTAGCGAGTGATAATGGTCTGGGTTTTCTCAGAGGAGAGAGAAATTGGTGAAGATCTGGCATGATGGGCACAATAACGCCTTAAACCCTTAATCAAACGGGGGTGGTTGGTGAGCCATGACATTGCCAGAAACCCTGGAGTCAGGCCGCAGTGCAGGTTAAGTAACGAGTGATGAACACAACGCAGGGATAAGCAATCGTTAAAGGGCTGCTGCAAAGTGTTTTGAGGAATAGCAGTCCACTTGCATCGTGATTACTGCTTGGGAAGACATTCAGCTACGTATGAATAACAGTTGTGTACGGTTGTGGCATGGTTGTTGTGGATAGTGGAGGTTATTGAGTGGTTGTGGCTATGCTTCTTTGTTGTAAGAATTGCGATAGCCTTTCTCACATGGTAAACATTATTTATGGTGAATATAATTTAATCCACTATAATCAACTATGATAAACTAATAGTTGATTACGACTAGCTACTTGCCCCTTATTCTGCATTCTAATGCAGAGTTCAGCCTTTTGACATTCTTGCCGCTTGTTGTTTCTTGTGTTCACAGCAAGGAAGATGCCACCACAACTGCCGTGAGCACCGCCACCACCACCACCACCAATGTCACCGCCGCTGCTCGGGATAATGACCCCGCCATCAGAGCATGCACGTGCCAACAGCCCAGGAAGTTCCACGACTCGCTGATAAAGAGTAAGAAGCAGATGGCATTGCCAACTGAGGGGAAAAGGGGGCAGCCAGAATGAATTAATTAATCGTCTGAAACAATTTTATATATATTTGTTATTATTTATGATCTTACAACACTTAAACACAAGATCAAAAGATAGTCAAGCAGAGTGTGGAAAGAAGGAGGAAGATACGTAGTTTGTCCTCTAATATAGTGTGTGTGTATGGTAGAGCTCAGAAAACGGTCAACCTAGTAAATTGAGTCCTTGACATTAGCAGAGGTATCAAGATATTACATTCATGACTATGGCCGTGGTAATAACTATCCATTATTGATGAGGAAGCCAATGAACAACAGGATGGCTGGCATGAATCAATGATCGTCACAGCATCAATCAATCAAAGTGCTTCGTCGTGGATCTTTTGAGAAGGGTTGGGGGCAGGAATTAGGTGACCTTACCAAAGAAAATTTTAACGTTTGCCAAAAGGTATTTTGAACATCGATGCAATCATCGCTCTGTGCTTGTGTTTCCAATACTGACCACTGTCCGTTTAATCTCTCTCTGCTCTGTCTCCCACAGTGTCCCCTGGGAAAGACTTGCAGGAGCAGCAGCAGCCGCATCAGCTACAGCAGAAAAAAACAATTCAGCTTGAATTCATGCGCGTTGGCTACGAGCGGACTGTGGAAATTGACATTCCAGAGTCCATGGTGGGGTCAACTCAGGGACAGAAGATGGAAAAGGAGGCGGTCACGGTGCAGTCCCGGAAGAAGGAAGTCCTCTCGGAGTGAGTAAAAGCAAGCACAGTGAAAAATCTGCAGATGCTTTGCCACTGCAGCTGAACAAACGCACAATCAGCAGACACACGGCTAGCGGAGCGGGATGCTAGCACGGCACAATCAAGGGGCAGGTCGACGCCGCTGTCCAAACGGACGAGTTGGCCATTGATCCACCGTGGGATGCCGTGAGCTGGGAGAACTCGGACAGCCGTTCCAGCAGCAGTGACAGGGACATAATGGTGCTGAGAGTGAGCTGGGATTGACGTATCTTTTGAAAGCAAGGCTGTGCTCACCTCAGCAGACACAGAGGCGAATTTGAGACGTCATGCCAGAATGAGACCAACCCTCCTATTGAGTTTTCATCCCTAGCCCTTCGAGCGAGTGATAATGGTCTGGGTTTTCTCAGAGGAGAGAGAAATTGGTGAAGATCTGACATGATGGGCACAATAACACCTTAAACCCTTGATCAAAAGGGGGTGGTTGGTGAGCCATGACATTGCCAGATACCCTGGAGAGTCAGGCCGCAGTGTAGGTGAAGTAATGAGTGATGAACACAACGCAGGGATAAACAATGGTTAAAGGGCTGCTGCAAAGTGTTTTGAGGAACAGAGGTCCACTTGCGTCATGATTACAGCTTGGGAAGACCTCCAGCTACATATGAATAACAGTTGTGTACGGTTGTGGCATGGTTGTTGTGGAGAGTGGAGGTTATTGAGTGGTTGTAGCTATGCTTCTTTGTTGTTAGAATTGCGATAGCCTTTCTCACATGGTAAACATAATTTATGGTAAACATTATTTATTCCACTATAATCAACTATGATAAACTAATAGTTGATTACGACTAGCTACTTGCCCCTTATTCTGCATTCTATTGCAGAGTTCAGCCTTTCGACATTCTTGCCGCTTGTTGTTTCTTGTGTTCACAGCAAGGAAGATGCCACCACGACTGCTGTGAGCGCCGCCACCACCACCACCAATGTCACCGCCGCTGCTCGTGATAATGACCCCGCCATCAGAGCATGCACGTGCCCACATCCCAGGGAGTTTCACGACTCGCTGATAGAGAGTAAGTAGCAGTCGGCATTGCCAACTCGGGGGGGGGAGGGGGCAGCCAGACTGAATTAATTAATCGTTTGAAACAATATGATGGAAACAGTTGCAAAGTTGTTTCTGTGCTGCACTGTGAATTGAGCCACAGCTAACATGAGTGGTGAGTGATATTTAGGACAGATCCTGGGTTGCGTTGTGCACCCACCTGCAGTGAAAAGCACAGTGACGAAGAGTATAACCCTTCCCATGACTTTCGTGGCATGGGGGAGGTATTTTTCAATAAGTAATGGATTGACAAAGGGCTGTATATTTCTTATTACTTATCTTACAACACTTAAGCACAAGATCATAAGATAGTGCAACAGAGTGTGCAAAGAAGGATGAAGGTAGTTTGTCCTCTAATATGATGAGTGTGTATGGTCGAGCTCAGGAAACGGTCAACCAAGTAAATTGAGTCCTTGACATTAGCAGATGTATCCAGATGTAACATTTATGACAACTATGGCCGTGGTAATAACTATGCATTAGTGATGAGGAAGCCAATGAATGACAGGATGGCTTGCATGAATCAATGAGCGCCGCAGCATCAATCACTCAATCAAAGTGCTTCATGGTGGATCCATTGAGCAGGGTTGTGTAGGAATTAGGTAACCTTACCAAAGAAAATTCCAACGTTTACCAAAAGCTATTTTGAACATCGATGCAATCAACGCTCGGCGCTTGTGTTTCCAATATTGACCCCTGTCGGTTTCTTCCCTCTCTGCTCTGTCTACCACAGTGCCCGCTGTGAAGCTGTACGCACCAACCAGCAGGTGGACTCTCCAAAGCCACCTACTGTACAAGAGCAGCCGTGCAGTCCTCGAGCAACAGGATCTCAAAGAATATGCACAGTGGCAATATCAGCAGCAGCAGGAGCATATTCAGCGCAGCTCTTTGAGACAGGAGCGGGCACAGGAGCGGGCGCAGGAGCGGGCGCAGAAGCGGGCGCAGGAGCGGGCGCAGGAGCGGGCACAGGAGCGGGCGCAGGAGCCGGCGCAGGAGCCGTCGCAGGAGCGGACACAGGAGCCATCGCAGGAGCCGGCGCAGGAGCCGTCGCAGGAGCGGACACAGGAGCGGGCGCAGGAGCCGGCGCAGGAGCCGGCGCAGGAGCGGGCACAGGAGCCGATCGCCGCCAAGATCCACAAGAAGAGAGGCCTCTGGAAGCGACTTAGGACATTCTTCTGCTGTTGAATATAATTTTTTACAGAGACCTGTTCGCATCTGAAATGGATGTGGATACAGCCACATTTGTCGATGTGATTTGTAAATATTTTTCATAATGTATCAAGAGTTAAGATTATAATGTCCTTTTTTTATTGAGGTACTGTTTGTTGCGAATGTAAATAAATATTCTGATTCTGACTTACCTGTGAGTCCTGATGCTGGCTTTATTGTCGGAAGGGGTGCAATCAGTCAACACAATTGTACACACGGGGCAGGCATGCACACGCACACATAAAGAGATACACGGGGCACGCGCGTACAAATACCCGCCATTCGCCACTAAGTGACGGTGATGTCACCACGCTGCCTGTGGTATGCCAGGTGCATTTTGAGTCCACGTGAAGTGTCGAAGGCTCACTGACAGTGGGTCATGGTATAGACTCAGGTACAATGGGTTGACTGAGATGACTGGCAGATGCACCACCTGTGCCCCCTGCTGTGCCATCTTTCTGTGTTTTAGCCGCCTGGCTCTCCGCTCGTCGTGAGCGTCGCTCCTTTTCCCTCTCTTGTTGTTGGAAGGCGACTGCATCCAACTGCCCAGTGGCGTCCTTCACGAGCCTCCTCCAGAGGCCGATCTTGACAAGTCCACTCAGCTCCAAAACTTCCTGTACTACATCGGTCCATCTCTTCTCTAACCCGTACCATGACCGTTAATCCCCCTTTATCCAGCAAAAAGAAGCCTGGTTAAGCCCATGATGGATCATAGGCAGGCCATCCTGAATCTTTCTAATCAGCGCAGATGTTCTATTAGAGGGGTCCACGTTTCACAAGCATAGAGAAGGGATGGAATGACTGTGGCAGAGAAGACCCAAAGCTTCGTGTGCAGCGACAGATCAGGGTTGGGATCAAACCCACGACCTTTTTGCATAGCAGACGAGGTAGTTGACATGTCGTCACCACAGCTGGAACTGCTAAACACCATTTTACGGTTTTGTTTTTCATGCTGTGAGACATGTTTCATGATTAATGTTATCTTCGCAAACATAGTTGTTGCCTGTACGAGTACCTGCATCTGTAAAACTATTAAAAGTGGGTGTAACCACGCTACACGTGTACCAGGCCTACGCCTTGTTTATTTTACTTAAAATGTAACGTATTCGCATCAAACTTGTAAAATGCACCAATTCTGTTATGAACGCTTTGTCGCGGAGTTTATTGGGCCAACATTTCTGGTCAACAGTGCCACAAAGTGTTCCATTGGTCCGTTTATTACATCGCGTTTCTGAAAACGTGTTTATTGACAGAATTGTCAGGACAGATCATAAGGAAAACATTGTTAAGAAACATTTATTTTATATGTGTTCACAGCGCAGGATTGTGATGAGGGTTCAGTAACTAAAAAGTGTATGGCCCCAAACAGCTCAAGGGGTCCTGGATGCATCATGGGTGGTGGGTAGGTGGTGGGGGGGTGATTCGTGGTTGGTGGGGGGTGGGTGAGTGGTGGGGGAGCGCCATCTACAGTGGGGATGTGTGGTGCCACAACAGCGAAGCCGCTCCGTCGAAACCGGGGCCGTTGCTGTGCTGCTGCGACCGAGAAGCCACCCGGCTCCCGTCACAGCACTTCCCCCGCCACCCTCCCCCCCCCCTAAACACACACACACACTCAAGTAGGGCCTCATGGGGAGGGGGGGGGGCACCTCTCCTGAGTTTTTACCCGAGAGGCCCCCTCATGGGGGTGCTCCACGGTTTCTCAGGGTCAGGGAATTGGCAGCCCCCCCCCCAGGCCAAATGGCACTGCGGCGCCGTGGCTTAACTTAAAATTGAATGACCACGTCGAACTCACTGAGAACCGCAGTGAGGAGATGCCCAGGACACACGCGGACCAGCAGACAGGTGGGGAGCGGGGCAGCGCGGGTTAAGCGTCTCTACCCATGGTGCACCGCGGGTTATCGTCTCTACCCATGATGCACCGCGGATTAACGGCCCTACCCATGATGCACCGCGGACTAACGGCCCTACCCATGATGCACCGCGGATTAACAGCCCGACCCGTGATGCACCGCGGATGGGCGGTGCGAGGGCTTTGAAAGGAGCATAAAAAGGGACGCTTTGGGGAAGCACGGGGCCATTTATTTTTTGACTGGAGATGAACAGGAGGGAGGGATCGAGGAGCCGTCACCTCACTGTTACTCGCACGTCCGTGAGACGGGGCAGAGAACAGCCAGATTCTGTTTACAGGATAATCTATCCGCGACCTCCATCGCTGCGAGGTCGGACCGTAAGTACGAGGGAGAGAGGTAAGACAAAGGGGCGAAATTCGGAGAGAAAATAGAGGGCAGACAGGTCGATTAAGTATCGGGCAGTAGAGATATAGGTTAGACCTGTCCTGCTGGTCCGTAATGACACGCGCAGTCTAGTTCGTTTATTCGTGGGGAATAAACCGTCAGTAGGGTATAAACCGGGTCGTGTTGTCTCTGTGAGTACGGAGGGGCGGTGCGTGGTGTGGCGAGCCTGCCCGCGGTGATTCTTTTGTTTGCGCGTGAGTGAGTAATTTTACCCACGTGTTTGCGCTCGCACGGGTGGGTTCACTCGGGGCTTGACGTGCATGCCGGGGCAGCAATAACGTGCTATCACCCTGGGAATTGAAGCACGGGTCCTTCGATCATTAAATTCACTAGTGCGTGGTGTGGTGAGCCTATGCATCATGTGGTACTGGTTGTAGTTCGCCCGCGCCAGTACAGGGGCGTGCAGGAGCAGCGGCGCTCACGGCACCCGCCGTGCGTGTAGCGCGTAGAGATAAATTGGGGAGCGGGTATTCCGCAGCGCAGCCTAATTAGTTGCTTCTGAACGGCTGCAACGGTAAATGAAGCAAGATTACACAATTCAAGCACGCGATGCTGCTGGCGGTGGTTACCGCGTGAGTAGAGCTGCGCAGTGAGGTACACGGGCACCCACGGGCATAATCATACACCGGGTGTTGCAGTTGTGGTAGTGGTATGAATTTAACGGGGAAGTCGGGGGCCAACGGCCCCGACAATTCGGTGATGGCGTTGGACGGTAGCCCCCACAGTTTGGTGTCAGGAGCAGTATGAACCCCCGCGGTACTCCACACGAAAATAAGATATGTGTTTACAGGCACAGCGACCCCTTCGTGGAAAGCGTTTGCCCGCAACATCACAGGGGCTAAAGAGCTTAATGGTTGGACGGACGCGCAGGCGTTACGACAACTCACTATTAATCTAGACGGGCGGGCGGTGGATTTTGTGGAGGCACTACCCGCAAGCACCCAAACCCAGTTGGAAGAGTTGATGCACCAACTCGACCTACGCTTCGGCACACGTAATGTGAGACAGTCAAAGACGGCCTTAGAGGCGCGCCGCCGCCAACCCGGCGAGGATTTTCGCGATTACGCTGAAGACGTGCGATCGCTAACACGGATCGCCCGCCCAGAGTTCGCAACAGAGGTGATTGACGAGCTGGCCGCCGACAAAATCCTCCGATATTTAGCCCGCACCGCGTGGTGGCAGCCTAAAGTAGGTGGTGCGAGCCTCCCCTTTAATACCCTCGTCGAGTGCGCACTCGAGTGTAAGGAGCTGGACAGCGAGTGCACGCAGCTTCGAGGACTAGGACGAGAGCGTGCCATCGCAAGTCTGTCCACCGAGGAGGAAGACGAGGAACAGGAACTCGCCAGGGCGGTAAGGGGGCGAGAGAGGGAGCCTCCAGCATCCCGCGACACAACCCCAGGATGGGTGGCTGGGATACAGACAGGCATAATGGATGTAGCCGGCCAGGTGACCCAAGTAGGTGACAGGGTGACCGAAGTAGGCGATAGGGTGACCCATGTACGCGAGGAAGCGAATAAAAATATGAAAACCATCCAGTCCGAGATGGGGGAGATACGTTCCACAGTGGGGGGGCTGGCCGGACGGGTGTCCCAGTTAGAGTCCGACCTTGGACAGTTGCGTACGGGAAGGGGAAGGGGAAGAAGGGATGGGCAGGGGGCCTCCTATAGGACCGTCCCCCGGGTGTGTTACCTGTGCGACCATCAAGGGCATCTCGTGAGGGACTGTCCCCAGATCGCCCGCGCTAGAAACGCGCCAGGGTTAAACGCCAAGGCTTCCCCAGAGAGGGGACCACCGAGGGGGACAGTCGGCATGGTCCCAACACAAATAAACTGTAGTAATAATGGGGAGCGAGTGACCCCCATACAGATTCCGACCACAACACCCAAGGACACGGTGAGGACGGGCGACTGGCTGTGGGAGCTGGTAGCAGGAATCACGGGGGCCACGTCGCTGGTGGAAGGGCAGGTGAACGGGCAGCGCACCCGGATCCTACTGGACACGGGGGCCATAGCCTCACTCGTGAGCGCCGCGCACTGCAGCGTGCTCAGGGTTGACGTGAGCCGCCTGCAGGCCCCGGATCGCGCGCTGCACACAGCGAGCGGAGCCGGGATAGGGTTGCTGGGAAGGATCTCTTTCGAGGTCCGTCTCGGAAACCAGGTATGCACACAGGAATTCTACGTCTCGAGTGTGTTGTGCCACGAGTGTATTGCAGGTACGGACCTCCTGGAAAAGCTGGGGCTCAACGTGCAGCCCCGCCAGCGATGCGCCACCGTGGAGGGCAGCGGGGAGCGGATTCCGTTCCTGAGACCCAGACCAAATCGCCCTCGCTTCACACCCGTGGCCACTACCCTGGTGTCGGCCGTCACCATCGGGCCGCTTTCCGAGATGCTGGTGCCAGTGGCAACCCCCTCCACCGACCCCCCACACCGACCATCGGGCGAGGTAATGCTAACTCCTCACCCGGAGTTGGCAGCACGGTACGGAGTTGTAGGGTCAGCCACGCTGGTAAACGCAGATGGGGGCCGACTATTCATGCGGATGTTTAACCCACACAGTACCCCGGCAATGCTAAGACGACGCACCACAGTAGCTACCATACACCCCTTGCACGCGCGCCACTCTAACGATTCGGTGTTTGCACTCTGGGCGGAAGACCCTGGCCGCCCCGAGGACAACCAGGATCTGGCCTGGCGGGTCGGCCTGACCCCCCGGGCCGAGATCGTCCCCCTGCATGATGCGTTACATGTGCCTTGGGCAGATTTACCTAAGGGGGGGGCCGATCAGCTGCGCGGGTTGTTACGGGAGTACGCCGACGTGTTCAGTGAGCACGATTCAGATGTAGGCCGAACAGACCTTG